CTGACCCAGCCCACTGGTGGGCACAGCTAAGCAATCCTGACTTGGGTTGAGTAGTGCCTGAAGAGGAAGACCCTTTCTTAGAACGTACAGCCTTGAGGAACATTATCCCTTATGTATGTATATATGAATACATATGCTTATATATAAAAACATTCAATATGATCTTGTTCTTAATTATTTAAGAAAACAATGATGAGTGTTCTGTAAAGAGCATTTGATTAAAGAGAACAGCACTGTCAAAGTACATTTTCCTGATTGGCATAGAGCCAGTGTTCCAGCAACATGGAAAGCATGGAGTAGATTATTTGCTCAAGTACAGTTTGTGCCTGAGACAGATTGAAATATAAGCAACCACTCTACATTCATCGATTTTATTACCTTGGAAATCACAGAGGCTTTCATAGAGCACAAAGCTTCGTCCAAGGAGGAAGTCTTTGGTTATTAGATGCTGAAGAAAAATTCCAAAGCTGTACACGTTTAGACTGTATGAAAGGTGTGTGTGCACTTTGAAAAAGGTTTGCCCTTAAGTTTTAAAGTCTTTTTGTTTTCAATCACAAAACCAAATACCAGATTTAATTCTCAGGAATGCTTTAAATGTGTTATAGGATGATTTCATGGTCAATACTATATGGTGCAAAGAAGGTAGTAACACATTCCCACTTTGGGCATGGATGACTTGCATTCTGTTCTGTACCAAGCATGCTTGACCCTTACTGTCTGCTGGGGAGGCAGAGGGTGTCCAAGTTTTTGCTAGTGTGTTACAAAAAAACTGCAAATTCATTGTCATGAATGACATTGTCCAGGGGTACAAATTCTGTGTATTCCTTATTAGCTCACATAAAAGTAATCTTCTTTGTTTCTTTCAGGGTAAAAATGTTATTTCCTCTTGATTATTGAAGCCACAGAACCTTACTATCAAAAGGTTCCCAAGGATAAGGAGAAGTGATGTGGAGGACGTCTATCTGTCACAATACCACCCTCTGGGAGAAGGAACACAGGAGAGATTCAGTATCACATTTTCCTCAGCATATTGATGGGAATATACCTTCCCTTAACTTCAGAACTTGAAATTTTCCCCCAGGAATTGAAAATTTTCCAGTTCTTAGATGTGTTTGCAATTTAAAATTGATACTTTTACAATGGTGTGTTTGTTTTATGAGGACATCATGCTATCCAGCTGAAATGAAGAATTATTGGACACTATAACTCTGTATACATGCTGCAATGCAGTTCTACTAAATATTAAGAAAAGTAGAAAAGTGGAATCTTTTTTTTTTAACTATAACATGGATGGAAAAGAGAATTTGATGACATAAGTCAGAAAGTGACTATGATCTCACTCCTAGGAGATATATAAAAAAATACAATCTGCCCACTCTCACTACTTCTATTCAATATAGCGCTGGATGTATTTACCTTAGCAGTTAGGTAACAAAAAAACATCAAGGGCATCCAGATAGGAAAGGAAGAAGTCAAGCCATTACTATTTGCAGATTACATGATACTATAGTTAGAAAATTCTAAAGACTCCACCAAAAAAAGGCACCTAGAAACATTAGGTTTGTATAGTAAAGCAGCAGATTACAAAATCCATACCCAAAAGTCTATGGTTTTTCACATATAAATAAAGATAAGAACGAGATATTATAAAAGCAATCCTGTTCACAATTATGCCATAGGAAACCAAGTAACTCGGAATCAGCTTAACTAAAGTGGTAAAGGACCTACACAAAGAAAACTACAAAACACTACTTCAAGAAATAAAAGAGGACAGTAGGAATTGGAGGCATATCTCCGCTCATGGATTGGGAGGATTACAGTTGTCAAAATGGTGATACTCCCCAAAGCATTATACAGATTAAATGTCGTCCCTTTAAGGATACCCAGGATATTTTTTAAAGAAATAGATAAAACACCATAAGGAACTCACATAGAACAATAACCCCCCACGAATAGCTAAAGCAATCCTTGGGAAAAAGAAGAGAGGAGGGATCACCTTCCCCAACTTCAAACTGTCCTACTAAGCAGCAGTAATTATAACAGCATGGTATTGGAATCAAGACAGATTCACAGATCAATGGAACAGAGTTCCTGACACAGACCCTCAGATATATGATCATTTAATCTTTGGTAAAAGAACAAAAAACATGAAATGGAGCAAGGAAAGCCTCCTCAACAAGTGGTGCTGGGAAAACTGGCAGCAAAAAAAAAAAAAAAGAATAAAAGAATTCGGACCTCTAATACCAGGCAAAGAGCCAAATCAAAATGGATTAAAGATCTCAATATCAGACCTGAATCTGTAAGGTACATGGAGGAAAACATAGGCAGAAACCTCCATGACACTGAAGCTAAAGGTATCTTCTTCTAAGATGAAGCACCAACTGACCAAGCAAGTGGACACAAAAGATAAAAAATGAACTATATTAAACTAAGAAGTTTCTGCAACTAAAAACACAGTGACCAAGATACAAAGACAACCCACAGAATGGGAAAAATTATTTACCTAATACCCATCTAATAAGGGGTTAATATCAAAGATATATAAGACACTGACTGGTAGAACTTTATACAAATAAGATGTTGAACCTTACCAAAATATGGGGAGAAGAAATGAACAGAAAATTCCTCAAAAAAGAAACACAAATGGCTAAAGGCAAATAAAAAAATGCTCTATATTGCTAATCACCAGGGAGATGCAAATCAGAATAACAAGAAGATAATACCTCACATCACAGAGACTGGCACACATCAAAAAAAATAAGAACAACCAGTGCTGGTGCGGATGTGGGGAGAAAGGGACACTCACTCACTGTTGGTGGGAATGCCAACTGGATCACACTTTTTGGGAAACAATATGGGCATTTCTCAAAAAAACAGAAATTGAGCTTCCATATGACCCAGCAATACCAATCCTGGGGCCCAAAAACACATGCAGGAAAAAAACATTTTCACCTCTATGTTCATTCCATCACTATTCAGAATAACTGAAATCTGGAAATAATTGGAGTGCCTGACAACAGACAACTGGATAAAGAAACTATGGTATGTTTACACAATGGACTACTACACAGCTGTTAGGAAAAATAAAGTCATGAGAGTATCATGTTGAGTGAAATGAGTCAGAAAGAGAGGAACAGGCATAGAATTATTGCATTCACTTATGGGATAAAAAAAACAACACAAAACATAATATTACAATAATACCCAAGGACAGCAGAAACGAGGCCCAGGAGGAACAGTCTATGGTTGGAAGCCTGCCTCAAGTGTTGGAGGGAGAAGACAGTTGGGATAGAGAAAGGCCCACTATGACAATGAGAGCTGGAAATGGTCACTCTGGATAAGAACTGCGTGGTGAAAGTAGGTAAAGGACCAAACACAATAACCTCTCAATACTTGTATTGCAAGCCATAAGGCGCGATAGGAAAAAGAGTGAGAAGGAGAGAAAGAAGAGAGGCAGACTGGGGATGGGGGCTGGGGTGGGGAGGGAAACTGGAGACATTGGTGGTAGGAAACGTACACTGGTGGAGGGACGGATGTTGGAACATGGCTGAAACCCATTCATCAACAGCTTTTTAACTGTGTATCTCATGGCGATTCAATAAAAAATAAAATAAAAATAAGGAAATAGATAAAATCCAAAGAAAGCAGACTTTGGTGCTCTGACCAATAAGAGCAGTGGTTTCCAAAGTGAAGAGCCGAGGTCAAAAGGTAGAGGCCAGCCAGAAGAGGAGGGACAGTGGAACTTTGGCGGTGTCTGTAGTGTGGCACCCCTGAAGCATATTAAAACAGGCACTTCTGCAAACCAAAGTTACCCTAATTAAAAAAACAAAACAAAACAAAACCTAAAGGATTGACAGAAGATAGCAACATGGCTGGGACAGAGACACCGTCACTGGAAAAGGCAAAGTATCGAATGCTGTGCACGTACTCGTCGGGGGCTCGGAAGAGACGTGTACTTTGAGGCTGATGCATCTGGGCTTCATTGCCAGAAGGAATCAGACCAAGAGGAACATACAGGTTGTGAAAAGTGGAAGGTGGGAGTGAAATAGGAAATAAATTGATTGCATGTTCTTTTCTCCTTTTGAGTATTTAAGTGTTATTTCTGGGGGTGGGTCCACCTGGAGGAGCCCAGGGGATGCTCCCTGCTCTACCTGTGGCTGCTCCTAGCAGTGCTAAGAGAACCAAGCCATGCTGGGACTTGAACCCAGGCCTCCTGCACACACAGTCTGTGCTCTCGCCCAGTGAGCCATTTCTCTGGCCCGCATCTTTAAAGGAATGGATTCCTGGGTGGTGCCAGAGAGAGAGAGAGAGGGGGGGGGGAAGAGATAGATAGAGAGAGAGAGAGAGAGAGAGAGAGAGAGAGAGAGAGAGAGTTCATCAGACTGACGCATTCCTGTGGATCTCTGTGCATGAAATCTGTGTGAAAATGGGGCAGAGAGGGGACACAGAACAGATTCCTTACGATGTCTGCCCAGCAAGGGTGGTATGGAGAGTGATGGCTGATTCACGAGACATGATACATGGAGCTGTGATTCAAATTCTCAGAAAATGACCCTAAGCAGATATGGCAGGATATTAATATTTATCAATGAGGGACACGATATGTACATGAATATTACATTATTCATTAGCCCTTTTAAATTTGCTAAGGTTCTATCACCTTCCGTCATCAGCACATCTAGATGCTGGGGTCTTGAACTAGGACAGAAGGACCTCCTGAGAGGGCTTGGTCCTCGTCAAGATGACATTCCATAGTTTACAGCCACATTTTTTATTCATATGCCTCATTACAAGGGGTCAGAAGGTGACCTCCTTCATCAGTGCCAGGTATAACAGGCCAAAAATAGTTTCCCATTCTGCATGACTAGATATTTTTGCATTTCATAAAATATCCTCTCGTTTTCTGAGGAACAATATGGAAAGATGTTTATGAAGATAATGATGCAAGAGAAATTTTACAACAGGTGAAACACTGAACCGTTCCTTTCGGCTGTTCGTACCTCATTGGATGGAACCGTGGCAAAGGGCTTGATGACGGCAGCCAGCGGGATCTGAGCTTGCTTGGCCATGTCCGATGTGCATGGGAAGCAGTACGTTGTGCAGCGGATATACCGGGGACTGGCGTTGCCTGAAACATTCAAAGGGCCAGACTGAAAACCGACGTAGAAAAAGATCTGCCCTAGGAGACTTGAAGAGCGGATTGCTTGTAGAAAAAAGATCAGCCCTATGATACTTGAATAGTTGCTATTTTGTAACAGTGCTCCCTAAAGCATATGAACACATACACTTCTGCAAACCAACTAAAAATTTAACTTTTTTTTATTTAGGAGGGGCTCTGGGGGACACATCCAGCTCTGGGACACTATGGAGGCTGCAGGGCGACCAGGTAGGCATGGTGGCAACAGGGATTGAGCTGAGGGCCATGGTGTTGCTGACCAGCAGACAGATTCTGATAAAGTTGGAAAGAACAGCTGGGACCTCAGCTTCTCTTGCCACCACACTCTGCAGTCAAGCCCTAAGCAGGCCCTTTGTTTCACTAGGTGCTGCGACAGGACTGTCCTGGGCTGGAACAGTTCCTTATTGTTGTGGGGCAGGAAGGACGAGGTGGGGGACGAGAGGGCTGAAGCGCAGAGATCTGCAGGTGGTGTCAACAATCTGATTCGGGATGTGTCCATCTTGGAAGCCGATAAGACAATCAGTGATGTGTGTGATTAGACATGGGACTCTGGGCGTGGGGCTGAAGATGGGCTGGAGAAACAGTCCCTGGGTGGCCGAGCATGGAGATGGACTCGGAAGGCATGAAACTAGGTGCAAACCCAGCACCTTCTGCCTCTCCGAGCTACCTGTAGGACATCACAGCCCTGAAGGGAGAAGGGGGGTCTAGCTCTAGCTCAGGGTCCCAGAGTTATTTGGCTCTACCCACTTTCTAGGAAAATGATCATCCAGTGCTCCCGCCCCGCCCCCGAAACAAACCTTCTTGAAACAAACCAGAAGTGTTTCCCAAATGCCCCTGAGGCTATCAGTGCCCCCCTGGACCATCTAACCACCCCTGGAGGGGCCTGTATCAGGCATTTTGGAAAACACTGATCTAGAGAAGAAAGAATTCCAACCCCATTCTAATAACTAGAATAGCAAGTCTGATAGCTTTGAAATGGGACAAACATATCTGGCTACTCATGTTACAGAGTCCCAATGTCCTAGAAATGAGGATGTGACTTATTAAAATGACATTCAAATCAGAAACTTCAAATTTAATCAGGTTACAGATAGAGCAGACTTCAAATATATTCTGGGTTACCACTTTTTAAAAAATCAGAAGAACGTGTTCCTAGAAAGATGAAGCCTGTCCAGACAGGGAAGGCTATACAATTTTGGCTTTTTATTTTCAGGCAGTTTCCAGATTCAGGGATGCTCGGAGATTACTCAGAGCTTTGAGGTCAGAAGTGACTTCTGGTGGTGCTGGGGGGAAGAGGGGAGACCATATGCAGTGCCTGGAATTTAACTGGGGTTGGCTGCATGCATAGAAAGCACTTAACTCCTGCATCATTTCTCTGGCCCAGGAATGGATCTTTTAAATGATCAACACACATTGGAAAGAACCAAGGGAGGAAAAATTCAGCCCTTCCTCGCCCTGGCTGAAAAGTGAGAAAACTGAATCCAAAATGGCTTAAAGAACTCATGGGAAAACACTGTCCAGCTAGCCTGATGGGTTTCTAATGTAGTCACTTAAACTAAAGCAGGGCAGGGATACATTTCAGGAATTAAAGAATTTTCTGGATTGGACGTATTACACTGCATCTCTCTAGACTTCGAGCTCAGTTGGCTGGAGTGATGAAAAGTGAAGTGGGCCCCGTTATCTCCTATAAGGAGGCTCCCTGTCACGGGTACCATGACTGAAGGGTAATTATGTATTTGCTTTGAAAATCAGTGATGGGATGTATGGACAGCACAGGTATATGCCTTTCATGCAGCCAATCACAGTTTGATCCATGGCACCATGGGTCCATGAGTACTGCTGAGTGAGGACCCTGCGCACTGCTAGGTTGGCCTTGGGAGTCTCAGCACCTCAGGGTCCAGGTAGGACCGCATCCTTGGACTCTTGCAATGGACTTCTAGAATGGTTGGCCAAGAATCACCAGGAGTGGGGCTGGAATGATAGTACAGCAGGAAGGGCGTTTGTCTTGCACGTGGCCAACCCGGGTTCGATTCCCAGCATTCCATATGGTCCCTCAAGCACCGCCAGGAGTAATTCCCGGGCGCAGAGTCAGGAGTTAACCCCTAACCATCTCTAGGTATGACCCAAAAAGCAAAAAAAAAAAAAAGAAAAAAAGACTCACCAGGAGATACCCCCAGACCCCATTCAAACAAATAGGAGAAGTTTCACCAGCTTAATCAAAGTGGTGACAGAAAACAGTACCTTGGTCCTGGATCACACAATCTGTGGTGACCAATGGGGGCACCTGCCCTCTGGTGTTGGTGATATAGACTTGGCCCCCTCTGGCAGCTCTGTCATTCTCAATCACCTGGATCTGACAAAGTAGACGAAGAGCAGGTTAAAGCCTGTCAGTACTCATCCCAACTCTCTCTCCTTTCTCCTTCCCTCTCATTATCCACAACACAAAAATAGCATTTTCTATTCTCTCAAAGCTCATTTCTGGTGAAATTCTCACAGAGAACTATAGCTCCCTGGGAACTGTGTCCAGCTCCACTGACATTTATTTTCACAATTTTGAGACCAGTAGCCTCTAGATTCTATATTATAATTCTCTAAGCTCCAAAGTAGAACCCCTAGAGAACATTAGAACATTATTCAATGGGACTTCGCTGAAGCATTAAAAAAAATAGATCATCCTTGACCACAGAATAAAGAAATGAAGAGGGTAGGGGAAGGAAGAAATTGAGGGGGGGGAAAAAGAGGCAGACAGGAAATAACAGGGTCCGAGGTGAGGGGTCTTGGGCACATCAACAGGAAGAAATGTGGCATCTCCATATCCACAGAACAACAACAACGAAACAGGGGACCCTAACCACAGCTAAACTGAGAAATGTGCCCCTCAAGGTGGCAGACTTTGAGGAGGAGGGAACCTGGGGACACCTGGGAAGGGAAGTTGACACTGGTGGGGGGATTGGTGCAGCTACTTTGTATGCCTCAAACTCAATCATTAATAATTTTGCAACAAGGTGCCTTAACTAAAAAATTCTTGAAAAAAATATTCTATTAGTAAGAGATATTGAAAAATCTTTCTTAAAGAAAATACTTTATGCAATTAAAAAAATTCATTTTCTGTTTTGGGGCCACACCCAGAGAAGCTCAGGGCTTTCCCCTGGTTCTGCACTCAGGAATTAGCCCCTGGAGGTGCTCAGAGGACCATATGGGATGCCAAGAACTGAACCTGGGTTGCTCTCATGCAAGGCAAGTGCCTTGCCTGCTGTGCTATCTCTCTGGCCCCTTCAAGAAAATTCTTAAAGTTCAAAAAGGATTAAATTCAGAAGAAATGATTTACAATATTTACTCTAACAAGTCTTCCCCCCTCCCCGCAGCCCCTCTGACCTTTCAAGTCCCCTCACTGTCTTTGAGGTCTATTTGCTCTTGGTCTTATACGTTGTACAGAAGTCAGAAAGAACATAGCACTCACGTGTCTATGCTCTGCTGCCTAATTTGAAAACATCTTTTTTTTCAGTTTTGGGGTCACATCCAGCAGTGCTTAGGACTTACTCCTGGCTCTGCCATCAGGGACCACTCCTGGTGGGGATGGGGGGAACTAGGGGTACCTTATAGGATGTTGGGGATTGAATTCATGTCAGCCACATACAAGCAAGTACCCTACCCTCTGTACTACCAATTTGATCCCTTGAAAACCTCTTCTACTGAAACATTTACTGATGAAGAATACAGAGCTAAACATTTATCTTCAAACACCAGAAGATCTTAAACATGTGAGATACACAATTTAAAAAGAGAAAGATAGATAGAGAGAGAGAGAGAGAGAGAGAGAGAGAGAGAGAGAGAGAGAGAGAGACGAGTATCAAATGATGACAAACTCTTGGCCGTTAATTAAAAACTGAGGTTACAGTGCAGTGGGGGGCAGCACGTGGAGGGGAGGAAGAGGAGGACCAGAAATGACATCAGGGCGGTGGTAGAGGGACTTGGGTACTTTGATAAAGGAACGATAACTTTATATATCAGAACTATGAATGTTAATATGATTGCACCATGTTACTTAAACAACAAATACCTTTTCCAAAAAATTAAAACATCTTTCTGCTATTATTTCCCAGGGATGAAAATAACGAGTAGCACTTAGCAGTTCAGAAAACCTGAAGGACTTCTAATAACAAAATTCCTCTTCCAGTTTATTTTCTCCCTGCTCTCAAGAGACAGCAGAGAAGGGTTTTTATTTGTTTGCTTTTGGAAGGAGAACTGGGATGCGTCTCAGTAGGAGATACACATTTTTTGAGGTCCAGTAACCCATCCCCAGCACCACCAATAACACAGGGGTGGGTGGGTAATGGAGAAATAAGAAACCAGAACTTTGAATGGCATCTAATTTTTTTATATTCCTAAAGAAAATACTAATAATTGAACACTTTCATCCTCTAGATTCTGCACTATAACCAATCCATGAGTCTCTTCCCTCTGACTGAGGGCAAGCCCGAAAGGACAGTGATTTAATTGGTTTAACGGAGTATGAGAATCTATAGCATTCTAATTTCATAGGTCATGAACTCTCATTAAGGATACAGAATCTACTCCAAGCATAAATGCTCTAAGACAAAACTGGGGTCATTCAAAATCACAGTAATTTATATTATTGACCTATGATTATTCCAATCAATAAAGTGTCTGCTATGAAAGTGAGGGAAAAGTCATAATATTGAATATGTATTGTTTTCAGTGTTTATATACGTTTTATGTCCAAAAGTTTATTTTTAAAATTATCCACATATAATTAAAAAAATCTCTGTCTCAAAATCCAGTGTCAGAGGTGGAAATTACGTCCCAAATTAATCCACCTCTTGGCTGAAATATTATACAGAGAAGGAAATAGAGCAGTTATAGTAATTAAATATATATATTTTATATCTGTTATGCATGTCAATATATATATTTGAAAGTAACCTCAGATGACAGGCCAGCGTGAAAGTGGGGCAATAGTACATGAATGCTCAGATTGGATATGTCCCATGTCAGGTAAAAGCAAGTGCTGTGGGTAGGTCGGAGAAATGGATAGGGTACCCCGGAGATGGGGACTGGCCATGAGGACATGAAAGAAACCAGGAAATCAATCATGTCCTGAATACATCCAGGAAAATGGACCTGGCAGAGGAAATGTCAAGTGCAAAGGCCCTGAGGTAGCACGGGCTGGTGTGTCTGACGTGTACATAACAAGGAAGGGGAAGAAACTTTTATTGTTTTAAGCTCCCAGCAGGCTGGTAATTGGCCACTGCTGCTAGAGGAAACAAACACACTGTCCATGAGCACTGGGGCTACAGTCCAGCCTCCAGCTGTTCCGCAGGCAAAGCTCAAGATTAGTAGAATGGCCCTGAGCAGCCATGGCAGGTGGTGGTCTGTCACTCAGCCAGCTTATGCAGCAGTGCACTTTCCTCTGTGCCCAGTTTCTTTTCCCACTATGTTCATAGAACCACACCAGCACCAAAACCAACCGAGTTAGCATTGTCCCTACCTCAGAGGATGCCGCCCTGTAAGGCTCACGGCTCCCCCTGGGTGAGAAGTGCCAGTCCTCACCCCGTGGTAGAGTGGCTGTGGCGTGTCCCCAAGAGGGGCTATCCCTTCACCTCAGGACCACAGGGGCTCACGAAGGCACAGCTTGGGAAGCAAGAGGACATCTACTAGGGTCAACAAGCAAGCTAAGTGAGAAACGAGACTGCAGCTGGGCACAAAGGTGGGGTCGCTGGCAGACCTGAGACTCTTACCAAAGACAGATCCTCCAGGGAAAGTCACCTGTGAGGAGAACTAAGGTTTAGGTCTTTCAAAACAGAGTTGTCTCCTTACTACTCTAAGGGGTTGGAGTGATAGCACAGAGGGTAGGGTGTTTGCCTTGCACGCGGCCGACCCGGGTTCAATTTCTCCATCCCTCTCGGAGAGCCCAGGAAGCTATCAAGAGTATCCCTCCTGCATGGCAGAGCCTGGCAAGCTACCGTGGCGTATTCAATATGCCAAAAACAGTAATAACAAGTCTCACAATGGAGATGTTACTGGTGCCCGCTTGAGCAAATCAAACAATGGGAGAACAGTGCTACAGTGCTACTACTCTAAGGGATAAGATCTCTGGCACCAGCATTCGCTATGGCACTCCTGGTTCTGGGGCCACACCAAGCAGTGCTGAGATGTTTTCCCCCCCCCCCCCCTGTAGTGCTCAAGGGACTGTGTGACTCCTGGGGAATGAACCCAGGGCTCTAGCAGGCAGAGTGTAAGGCGTAGTCCAGCCCTTTGAGCTGTCTCCCTGGCATCAACGGGTGCCTGGACCTGGCTGAAAAGGGCATGTGAGGCATGGAAAGCAGCATCTGTATGAAGAACATAACCTAGGTATGGGTTCAATATCACAAAAACTGCTGATGCATGTCAATACAAATATCAATAAATACCATCAACTGGCTAAGAAACCCCAAAGAAATCACCACAGGTTGCATGTTTCAGGGACACCCTCTGAAGCCCAAACAGAGATGGAAGGGAGAGAGTCTTCACCCTGTGGCGCTATGTTTTAACCACACAGGACAGGGGATGAATGTGAGAAACGGAAGGGTTTTAGAGAACGAGGCAGAAAGAAAGGTACTTTGTGAGGGAGATGAAGGAGGCAGAAGAGCACTTACTGGGCTGGGGATCAAGTCAGGATCCAGCTTCTTGGGGGGCTGTGGCGGCCCAGCCATCTGTGCGGGTCCCCCAGGGAAGCCACCTGGGTAGGAGAGCTGGGCCCCAGGCATCGGTGGACCAAAGTTACCTGCTTGGGGGAGAAAAGTAAAGAGTTTGTCACTCCAAATTCCACATGTCAGGCTCACTGACGCTCGCTTTCTTGTTACTCAGTCAAGCATGTCGCATCTTCCATCTTATTAGGTCGGGCAAGGACTTAAGGATGCCTACCTTCCTTTCTCCCTTTCTTCCAACTTGCCACACTATCCCAAAACTCTCATTCTTTGGCCAGGAAGAGAGTACAGGGGTTAAGGTATTTGCCTTCTTGCAGCAAAGCTTGAAGGCATACCAGGAGACTCCTGAGCACAGAGCTGGGGGCAGTTCCTAGGCGCTGCCATCAAGGATGGCCCAGAAACAACTACCATTCCCCTTTTCTACAGGGATGTGGATCAAAACTCAAGGCCTCACACAGGGAAGTCACAACCACAAGTCCTGAGCATCCCCAACAACCGTTCTTTAAAAGTGGTAAGAAACGGAAGACCGGGAGAGTGGGTCCTTAGTAGGAGGCTTGCAAAAGTGAGGAGCGGGGGTTAGGACAGGGAAGGGAATACTATGACAATGATCATGGAAAGTGGTCAGTATGGACAAGAACTGGATGCTGAAAGGAGGCAACGTGATAGGAAATGATACCCTTCAGGAACAGTATTGTAGCCCCTTGGAGCCTAAACAGAAAACAGGAAGAGAAAGGAAAAGCATCTGCCATAGAAGCAGGCTCTGGGGACAGGAGGGACACTGGGGCAGGAAGTGGACTCTGGTGATGAGATGGGTGCTTGGATATTGTATGACTCAAACTCAACCATGAATAACTTTGCGACTCCATATTTCACAGTGATAAACCAGTATTTTAAAAAGATGTGAGTAATAAATGCCTAAGGAAGACAGGGACCCCGCTGGAGTCTCACTTGGGCACCCTTCAGTTACCCCCAACGTCGCTGGAACCTGGCCCTTACCCTGCGGTGGTGGATAGCCTGCGCCCAGGCTTTGTCCTGGGAGAGGCGGAGGCGGGTACTGGGCGCCGGGGGGAGCCGGTCCTGAGCCAGTTGGGGGCAAAGGCATGGCCCCAGGGCCATTGATTGCAGAGGGCGGTGGTGGGAGGACCTGTGATCCCGGCTGCAGAATGGACGGCTGGGGAGGTCGTGGTGGGCCCTGGAATGATGCTCCTGGCACAGTCCCAGGGGGCCCCTGGCTGGGGGGACCCATGCCTGAACCTGTGAGAAAAAACAGACCAGAAAGCCTGAAGGCGCATCTCTCAACGTTGACTTCTACAAGAGGACACAGCAGGGACATGTGTTTGCTGGACAGAGAGCGGGACCCTTACAATTCGAATTCTGTGGTCTTCAATCAGAAAGCAATGCCAGTGCTACTTGGGGCATTTCGTTCAACTGGAGAACTTAACACTGGGTAAAGCCACAGTGAAAATGTTAGAAAATTTGTAGGATGAATTTTGACCCCAGTGCATTCATGTTTCATGATACACACCATTATGAGGGAAATGGCACAAAAATCAAGAAAATCAGATAACTGTCATTGTCACTATCCTCCCATTGTTCATAGATTGGCTGGAGCAGGCATCAGGAATATATCCATTGTGAGACTTGTTGTTACTGTTTTGGCATATTGAATACGTCACAGGCAGCTTTCCAGGCTTTGCTGTGAGGGCGAGATACCCTCGGTAGCCTGCCAGGCTCTCCAAGAGGGGCAGAGGAATCAAACCCAGGTTGGCTGCATGCAAGGCAAATGCCCTACCAGCTGCGCTATCTCTCCAGCCCAAGAAAATCAGATAGATGCATTTTATAAATGATCTGTTCTCTGCGCCCCATTGGATTAAATGGGTTGGAGAACTACGTAGAACAGCCTTGGGCATGGTTTCCAGGCATACTGGAAGAAGACATAAACCCAGATTATTTTTCTTTCCTGTGATTTTTTATCAAGTTCAGTGGCTTTGCTGCAAAAGTACTCCTTTTGAAGTCAGTTAAGAAATAGGAACGCGTCTGAGTGCTTTATCACTGAAATTTCTGAGAAAGAAGCCAACTGTAATGGAAACAGTCTCATCATCAATATAAACGGGCGACCAGTCTAACAACACCAGTTTTCTCCAGTCCCGAGAACATACAGCATTTCCATGGATATTGAAAGCTCAGTGTTTCAACTATTCTCTTTCCTACTATTTTCTTTTCTGCTTTATACCATCTGACCTATTCTTCCCCTGATCTAAGTACAAAATCAAAATGTACAGCAAGACAATGAGTATATTAGGATGAGGGTGATAGCATTTTTTGGGGGTCTAGGGCATTTGCCTTGCATGCAGCCAACCTGGCCGACCCGAATTAGATTCCTCTGCTCCTCTCAGGTAGCCTGGCAAACTACCGAGAGTATCTCGCCCACACAGCAAAGCCTGGCAAGCTACCCGTGACATATTCGGTATGCCAAACACAGTAACAACAAAGTCTCACAATGGAGACATTACTGGGCCAGCTTGAGCAAATCGATGACCAACGGGAGGACAGTGCTACAGTGCTACAGAACTAACAAGACAAAGTCACAAGCACCTTCAGATTTCTGCCAATGGTTTCACTGTTTTAAGTTTTCTTTGTGAAGTCAGTGTTTTTTGTTCCACATGTTTCTAGTTCTATTGAATGTAAGGAATTTTCCTCTGAGGGGCCCCACCAACTTTCTTGAAATAAGTGGTAACATGATTGGGGGAAAGATAATTCATTATAGCCTATATACGCATATGCATAATAAATGCACATATATCAAAAGCGTATGTCTATACATAAAATTGCCCACCCACTTTAGTGCAGCATGCCAGAGTTATGTCTGTCTTGAAATGAAGATGCCCTTTCTCACTGATATTCTCAGGACACAAGGTGGTCAGTGAGCATAAGGTAGATCTATTACCAAAGCTGTTGATGTTCATGGCACCAAGCTGACCGCCCAGCTGAGTGACGGATGACGTGGACGCAGGACCTGGATAAGACGGCTGTGTGGAGGGTGGGTATGAGCCGAAAGAAGATGCCGCACTGCTCGCAGGTGGAGGACCCGGAAACCTAAGCGAGAAGAAGAAAGACATTGAAGAACCTTGAGGGGTTTCCCAGGACAAATGACATGCAGCAAATTTTTTTTTCTGTTTGTTTGGGTTTTTTTTTTTTTTTGGTTTTTCGGTCACACCCAGTGATGCACAGGGATTACTCCTAGCTCTACAGTCAGGAATTACTCCTGGCGGTGCTCAGGGGACCTTATGGGACACTGAAATTGAACCCGGGTCAGCCACGTGCAAGGCAAACGCCCTACCCCCTGTACTATCGTTCCAACCCCAAATGTTGGTATCTTACCCAGTAAACTCAGCCCAGCCAGTAGACACTGGAGAAATAACTGATACTATATACCACATCTTTCATTAATCCCCGTCTGGATTACAGACAAGCCCTGTGATATTAGCCCCTCTCTGTGCTCATAGGCAGAACATATCGAGATAGATACCTTGCAAGAAAAAATGCTAGTGCAGAACAGAGATCTAGCCTGAGAAATCAATTTATGAAGCAGAAACCAGCACAGCCTGTTCTATATCTGACTGGTAAAACAGAAATGAAGAAAACACAAACACTTTGTGGTTGTATCTATATGACCCCTAATTTTATAGCTTACCCAGCAGTAACAACAAATATCACCTGCACTGTACTTCAATGACCAGGGCACTCCCTACGAAAGTGATAGAAAGTAAACAAATCATAAAAAGGTCTGAAATGTGACATTTTCTTTCTTTTTTCTTCATATAAAAAAAATTTGCCCTGTAGGCCTTAGATTTAGGCTAAAGTAACTGCATGCCTATTTTATCTCATTTGCCCATAACAGTGAACCACCTTCTGAATGAATAATATTCCTTATTAATGTTAGTCTTCCAGAGGAGGCTCGATTTTTTCCTTAGAGTCACAGTATGACTCCTTATCAATTTTAAATTTTAAGCAAAAACTATTTTTTCTCAGATGGTAAGCTTTAATTTCAATTGCTCTAAAAACGGATTTCCTAGTGGCGCTTGACAATTCTCGCCTTCCGCTTCCGCTGCTGCTTGGAAAGTGACGAGGCAAGCCTGGGAGATGCGGGTGGATAAGCCTAAAACCTACAACTTATTTCTGACTGAGCCCAACTGTATCTTAGTAATTAAATAAGGACTCCTGCCAAACACTCTGGTCATTTTTCTTGATCAGTCTTAGACTGATTATTATAAATAATGGAATAACTTTCAAAGTACTGTTCTGAGTGTACAATATGAAACACAGTGTATTTCAGGGTAATATTTTTTTTGTTTGAGGGGGGCCACACCAGGGGGTGCTCAGATCTGTGCTCAGATCTGTGCTCAGGAATTGCTGCTGGCAGGTTCAGGGACCATACAGGATGTTGGGGATCGAACTCACATCAGCCGAGTACAAGGCAAATGCCCAGCTGGCTGTACTATGACTCCAGGCCACATTTCAGGATAATATGTCATAGTTTAAGCTAAATAGATCAATGAGCAAATGATTTTTCTATGCAAAAGTAAAAGTTATCTTACTGCAAATATATGTGGTTATAAAGGGTCATAAGGTAAGAATCCAAAGCATTTTAAATGAACAACATTGGCAAAGAAATTTGACCTCTCAAGCACCAAAGAAAACTACAACATAGTTATACTGTTTTTAATGAATTTTTTACTTTTAATTTTTATAATTCATTGTTTTTTAATAGAATTACGTGAGATACACAATTACAAAGTTGTTCATGATTGGGCTTCAGAAATACAATGTTCTAACACCTGTACCTTCACGAAGGTACATTTCCCATCATCAATGTCCTCATTTTCCCTTCCACCACTATATCCAATCCCCACTCTCCCTCAGCCTTTCTCGATGTAGACGTCTCTCTCTCTCCTCTCTCTTTCTTATCTCCTCTCTCTCCTCTCTTTTCTATCTCCTCTCTCTCCTATCTCCTCTCTCTCTCCTCTTACTCTCTCCTATCTTCTCTCTTATCTCTCTCTTTCTCTATCTCCTCTCTCCCTCTCTCCCTCTCCCTCCCTTTAGGATTACTGGTTTGCTTTGCACAAACATAAAAGTTTACTTTTTGAAGCATAGTTTGCCCTGCAACTCTATTAATGATATTAGATATGAAACAGAATTTATCTTACTTGACACATTTAAAATATTTTATGCTGCTTGAAAATGATCTCAAAAATTGTCTTACCATGTTTCACAAATCCATTGCTTCATAAAAGAAAATATTTTTGTTCCAAGGAATGATACTTTTTATATTAAAAAAAAAACAGTCCTGCATGGGGAGGCAGTACCCTCCCCAACCTCAAACTCTACTACAAAGCGGTAATAATTAAAACAGCGTGGTACTGGAACAAAGGCAAGGCCACAGACCAATGGAACAGGGTGGAATATCAGTACACACAACCCAAAATGTATGAACATCTAATCTTTGATAAGCAAGCAAGAAATGTGAAGTGGAACAAGGAAAGCCTCTTCAACAAATGGTGCTGGCAAAACTGGACAACCACATGCAAAAAAATTGGCTTAGACCTCGACCTAACACCATGCACAAAAGTTAGACCAAAATGGATTAAAGATCTCAACATCAGGCCAAAATCCATACAGTACATTGAAGACAAGGTCGGCAAAATCCTCCACGATATTGAGGCTAAGGGTATCTTCAAAGACGACACTCCACTGACCAACCAAGTAGAAACAGAGATAAACAAATGGGAGTATCTTAAATTAAGAAGCTTCTGCACCTCAAAAGATACAGTGACCAGAATACAAAGACAATCTACAGAATGGGAAAAGATATTCACCCAATACCCTTCCGATAAGGGGTTGATATCAAGGATATACAAAGTACTGGTTGAACTCTACAAGAAGAAAACATCTAAATCCATCAAAAACTGGGATGATCAAATGAACAGAAACTTTCCCAAAGAAGAAATCCAAATGGCTAAAAGGCACATGAGAAAATGCTCTACATCACTAATCATCAGGGAGATTCAGATCAAAACAACAATGAGATATCTCACACCACAGAGGCTGGCCCACATCCAAAAGAACAAAAGCAATTGGTGTTGGTGTGGATGTGGCGAGAAGGGACTCTCTTTCACTACTGGTGGGAATGCCAATTGGTTCAGTCCTTTCGGAAAACAGTATGGACGATTCTCAAAAAATTAGAAATTGAGCTCCCATTTGACTCAGAAATACCACTCCTGGGAATATATCCCGGAGAGGCAAAAATTACAGTCCATGGGGCTGGAGCGATAGCATAGTGAGTAGGGTGTTTGCCCTGTAAGCGGTCACACGTGGCCGACCTGGGATCGATTCCCAGAATCCCATGTGGTCCCCTGAGCACTGCCAGGAGTAATTCCAGAGTGTAGAGCCAGGAGTAACCCCTGAGCATCACCGGGTGTGACCCAAAAACCAAAAAAAAAATACAGTCGAAATGACATCTGCACTTCTATGTGCATTGCTGCACTGTTCACAATAGCCAAAATCTGGAAAAAAAACCATTTTTTTTAACCAGATGACTGGTTAAAGAAATTTTGGTACATCTACACAATGGCATACTATGAGCTGTTAGAAAAGATGAAGTCGTGAAATTTACATACAAGTGGTACTACATGGAAAGCATCATGCTATGTGAAATGAGTCAGAAAGAGAGGGACAGACTTAGAAATATTGCATTCATCTGGGGAATATAAAGTAACAAAATAGGAGACTAACACCCAAGAATAGCCGAGATAAGTACCAGGAGGTTCACTCCATGGCTTGGAGGCCAGCCACACATGCTAGGGGAAAAAGCAGCTCAGATAGAGAAGGGAGAACCAAATGAAGGGTGTTGGGAGGATCCTCCCAGGATGAGAGGTACATGCTGAAAGTAGACTATAAACTGAACATGACTGCCACTCAATGCCTCTTTTACAAACCACAGCACCCAAAAGGAGAGAGAGAACAAAAGGAAATGCCCTGCCAGAGGTGGGGTCAGATGGGGGGATGAGGGGATGGGAGGGATACTGGGATCATTGGTGGTGGAGAATGGGCACTGGTGGAGGGATGGGTACTCAATCATTGTATTACTGAAACCCAAGCACAAAAATTTGTAAGTCTGCAACTGTACCTCATGGTGTTTCACTAATAAAAATTTTAAAAAAAACAGTCCTGGTTATTCAATATATGAATAAATTGCAAACAGGCTTTTTGTAAGCAAGAATCTGATAAGGAACTGAGATTTTCTGGTAAAATGGGAAGAGAGCTATTCAACTGTTTGAGAAAAAGACTCCTCAAAACATATTCATAGATATTTTACAAGGCAGAGTCTCCTGCCTCCGTGCCTGGCTGTTCTCACTGGGGCCTCTTGGAGGAGGGTGGGTTGAATTTCCCTCCCCACCCCGAGCAGAGCCTTGGCAGCTGAAGACCTCCAGTTCCAGCCACAGCCACGCTTAAGACCACTCTCCACACGTTCGAATGAGCCTCACGCATGAAGGAACCGGCAGAGGAACCCAGATGTGTGGGACCCAGGGCATAGATCTCCAAGCCTGCTCGGATTGGGACTGGGCCTCCTCCACCCAGATCCCCCATCTTCCAGTATGTAGGTGTTACACTCACCAACTGCCTCCCGCCGTGTAATCCCATGATGGCCAAGACCCAGAGACTATAAAATCCAGCTCCCGAAAGCGCGCAGCTGCGCAACATCTTATTATCGAGTCCTTATTCTGGAGAACCTGGCAGGCTACCGAAAGTATCCTGCCCGCATGGCAGAGTCTGGCAAACTCCCCGTGGTGTATTTAATACGCCAAAAACCAGTAACAATGATGGGTCTCATTCTCCTGACCCTGAAAGAGCCTCGAATGTGGCACTTTCTAAAATCTCAGCACTAGGACGAAGGAGACGTTACTGGTGCCTGCTTGAGGAAACAGATGAACAACAGGATGACAGTGATTTTACAAATGTTAATATTAAGAAATAGAAGTCATATATTATTAAAAATGAGCTGAAATATGTTTCAAATAGGAATTAAGGCATAAGCA